GATGCATCTTAAAGTCATTATACTGAGTGAAAGAAGCTATGCATAAGGTTGCACACTGTTGATTCTGTTTATATGACATTCTTTTAATCTTTTTTTTTTTTTTTTTAGTTATAGGTGGACACAATACTTTTATTTTATTCATTTATTTTTTGTGGTGCTGAGGATAGAACCCAGTGCCTCATATGTGCGAGGCAAGTGCTCTACTGCTGAGCCATAGCCCCAGCCCCTTCTATGACATTCTTTAATTAGTGTTTCATAGAGGTTATAGAAGAGAGTGTAACTATAACTGACTATTTTGGGGGACTTTTTGAGTGAAGAAACTGTTCTGTAATCTGAATTGTCTTGGTATTTACACAGATCTATAATTAATTAAAATTAATAAAGTGTACCTAAAAATTGCTTTATGGTATAATTAAACTAGTGGTGGTGTCATTCATTTGCCAAAACATGTAGGCTTTCTGCAAAGTACAGTGTAGGAAAAATGTCTGAAGCACTGATGAACCATCTCATAGTTTACTATATTTGAATAGAAAAACATTCTCAGACCAAGGGAATTCTATGGTAATTCTGCTAGTAAATGCTCAGTTAATTAATTCCATTGAGGCTGATGGGAGCCTCTAGAATCCAGAGAATATACACTTCAGTTTTCATTTTCATGCTATCAGCTGATAATTGGGTTCCAAAACTGTATGTTAACATTTTTCTACCAGATCTGACCTTCTTTTTTTTTATTATTTTTTAGTTCCCATCATTGTATATTTATTTGTTTTATTTCATTTTTTTCAACTTTATTTAATTTAGACTTCCCTTTTTCAGCTTTATTTCCGTTAACATGCATCATGTATCTGTTTCTCAAGCCAGGAACTAAGAAATTGTCAATGACTCTTGCTTACTTCTCAGTAACTCTTGTCATATAGATTCTAACTCCTTAGTATGTTTCAGAACAGATTCTTATTTTTTATTCTCATCAGCACTGATTAAATCATCATGTCACATGGATTCTAGAATGGCCACAAAACTATTTTTTTCTGTTCAACTTAAATTCATTCTCTGCACTGCAGCTAGAATGATATTTCTTTAATATAAATATAATCTCAAATTTATATTTATATTAATTTAATATAAATCTCAATTTGTCACTACTTAAAAGTCTTCAGTCTTGTTTACCTGGGTATATCCAATATCCCAGAATATTGTTTTTTATATATTGGTGTTTTATTTGTCAAAATTTCGAGAGGATTTTTTTGTGTTTGATGAACAGAATCAATCCCAACTCTTTCTAACATTGATTTGATATCTAGACTAGTGTTGAATCATGGTGTCGAGAGTATCTGAAGAGATTTATTTTTCCTCAGTTTCTAGGAAGAACAGGGCAAGCACCCAAGTTGATCTAGAATGGCTTGTGTGAAGGGAGGGGCATGGGTGGCTCTGGTTTTTATTGTGGATAGGGGTGGACCAGGTTGAGGGTTCCCACTTGCACAATGGGGTTTCATGAGTTGAATTTTCCTGCTGTTGTCAAGTGAGGAAAACTATCCGACATGAATTTTTTTAAAATTTATTTATTTTTATTTTTTAGTTGTAGTGGATACAATATCTTTATTTCATTTTTATGTGGTGGTGAGGATCAAACCCAGTGCCTCATTAATGCTAGGCGAGTACTGCACCACTGAGCCACAACCCCAGCCCCCAACATGAATTTTTACTATTGAATAAAACTAATAAAATCACTTTGATTGTATTACAGAAGAGTGTAAACACATTATCTGACATAAGGGAAGATAATACCAATCTTTGGTTTATTACTTTCCAGATATTTAAATGTACCTTTAGTCATTAAAGATGTAGTCATATTGTGTGTATGTAAATCTCCTTCTTCTCTACTGTTTTCATTTTATAGAACATCTTCCATATGTAATGATTTATTGATAAGCCCTCGATACTGATGTTTTTCCCTCTCTCCCTAAAATTCTGTGTTTTGCTTCCTTTTCTGCTAGGTTTTCTCGTTAACTTCTCAAAGTTGTATCATAATTATTTTTTTCACTTTTACATTCATTAAAACAAGCTCATTCCTATTCTTTAAGGTTATTTTTTAAAAACAAAAAATTAGAAAGTGAATAGTACAGAAGCCCATGTACCAAAACAAATTGTAGAGTTTTGTTAGATTTGAAAATTAGACCCCTTTTTTGCAGTGGTCAGAGTGCTGCTTTTTTTGGCTATGTGACTTAGCCATCCCTACTCTGAGACAGAGTTTATTGCTTTTGACTCTTTGTCCTGGCCTTAGTTGTCAGTTCTGGCCTGGAACACCCAATACCATCTTTTTCCACACATACTCAAACATACATTCACAAATAGTCAAATGTATATAGAGGATTTTTTAATTTTATGTGTGTATAAAATTACACATGTCATAATGCTTGTTGCAGAAATTAAAAAAACAAAACCACAAGTACTCTAACAAAAAAAAGAAGAAAACCTTATAATTTTAAAATAGAGTTAACGTGTATTTTGGTTCCTTCCAATTTTTTGAATGGATATCATGCCATGTTTTCATAAATGAATAAGTTTGTATATGCTGATTTATATGCTTAATTTTTTTTTTCAATTAATATCTAGTGTCTTCAGTTGAAGAAATGTTTTCCTTTAAGGATGATTATTCTTTTGGCTTTCAAACAAGAGACATTGAAACAAAACTATTTGTCTCAATAGAGTTGCTAGTAAAGTTTCAAATAGAACCCTGTAGGACTGCTTCTGTTTATACCATTTTTTGTGTAGTTTGATCTTATCATAGAAAACAACAGATTGAATTAAACTAGTGAAGCGGTGGGTGCTGATGGTAGTCAGCAAAAGGTGGGTTTGTTATAAAAAAGGAAATGAGGATATTAATCTCATTAATGGCTTATTGCATTATTTTTCATAAGTCTCTAAACGTTAGAAATAATAAAACCAACCTCCCATACCAAATGTAAATGTGAATGGGGGAGATTCTTTGCTAATTCTGTCATTCATGTAATTAGGGAACTTGTTAAAAGTATGGACACAGGAGTTAGACTTCTGTGTACCAATCCTATTTTGGCTAGGTGTTTAAGGCTCCTGTGTATTAGTTTGATCACAGATAATATAGGGATCACATTAATCACCAGTTCATTGAAGATTACATAAAGGAATTAATATTTATAAAGTGCTTAGAACAATATCTGGCACATGAGTAGCACTGTTAAGTTTTGTATAATGAAAATTAAAATCCATTGGGAAGAATCATAGGAAGGAGGAAGACTAGGGAATGATGTTACAAATTGTTTAATGGAATAAACCAGCTTGTGTTTTTCAGCTTTCTCTTATTGTAACAAAATACCTGTGATAATCAACTTATAAAGAGAAAAAGCTTATTTTGGCTTACAGTTTTGTAGTTTCCAGTCCATGATTGTTCGGCCTTTTAGGTTAGGCTTGTAACAAGATAGCACATTGTGGTGCAAATGCATGCCAGAGCAAAACTGCCCATCTCATATTCAGGAAAGTAGAGAGAGAAAGAAGAAGGGGTCAGGGTCCTACTATCCTCTTCAAAAGGCATAACCTTAGGAACCTAGGATCTCCTACTAGGCTCAGCCTTTTAAAGGTTCCACCACCTCTTAAACAGCATCTTTAACACATGGGATTTTGGGGGCCATTCAAAATTCAAATTGTAGCATCACTGAATTTGGGCTTTTAAAACCTTTAAAAATTTATTTATTTATTCATTCATTCACTCATTCATACATTCATTCATTCATTTTTTTTTCATTCATATATTTACTGAGTAGTACTGGGGATTGAACCTTGGGGTACTCTACCAATGAGCTACATCCCCATCTCTCTTTTTTTCTTGTTTTTTTAAAAAAAATTAATTAACTTCTTTTTATTTATATGTGATAACAAGAATGCATTATAATTCTTATTACACATATAGAGCACAACTTTTTATATCTCTGATTGTATACAAAGTGTATTCACAACAATTCATGTCTTCATACATGTACTTTGGATAATAATATCCATCACATTCCACCATCATTTCTAACCCCATGCCCGGCCTCCCTTCTCCTCCCACCCCCTGCCCTATCTAGAGTTCATCTATTCCTCCCATGCTCCCTCTCCCTACCCCATTATGAATCAGCCTCCTTATATCAGAGAAAACATTTGGCATTTGATTTTTTGGGATTGGCTAACTTCACTTAGCATTATCTTTTCTAACTCCATCCATTTACCTGCAAATGCCATGGTTTTATTCTTTTTTATTTCTGAGTAATTTTCCATTTTGTATATATGCCACATTTTTTTAATCCATTCATCTATTGAAGAGCATCTAGGTTGGTTCCACAGTTTAGCTATTGTGAATTGTGCTGCTATAAACATTGATGTGGCTGTGTCCCTATAGTATGCAGTTTTTAAGTCATTTGGGTATAGTCAGAGGAGAGGGTTAGCTGGGTCAAATGGTGGTTCCATTCCCAATTTTTCAAGAAATCTCCATACTGCTTTCCATATTGGTTGCACCAATTTGCAGTCCCACCAGCAGTGTATGAGTGTACCTTTTCTCTCCACATCCTTGCCAACACTTATTGTTGTTTGTCTTCATAATAGCTGCCATTCTGACTGGAGTGAGATGAAATCTGAGAATAGTTTTGATTTGCATTTCTCTAATGGCTAGCGATGATGAACATTTTTTTATATATTTGTTGAGTGATTGTATATCATCTTCTGAGAAGTGTCTATTCTTTTTTATTTTATTATAAACTTGCCCAGTTGTTGAGGCTGGTCTTAAACTTATGATTCTCCTGCCTCAGCCTCTCAAGTTGTTGGGATTACAGGCATATACCACTGCATGTGACGACTTTAAATTTTTTAAAAATCTATTTTGCTTTTGCCATGTAAACATTGGTAAATTCATATGATGATATTTTCAAAAATAATAGTGATACACATCCTTTGAACTAAGTTACAGTGTTTTTTACTGCTTTCGTTCACAGGATATTCTTAATAATCTTGAATCATGTGACCTTGAGGATGATGATCTTATGCTTGATGTGGATCTGCCTGAGGATGCACCTCTTGACAATGGTAAGTTGAGACGATATTGAGCCTCCAAAGGCATATTATATATTCTTGAGGTACTTATCTAAAAGCTAATTTTATATTTATTGCTTTCAGACTTCTTAACTGGTGGTAGAAGTGCAATAATACAAGAAGAAACCTGTGTATTTTATATCTTGATTTAGAACCAGTACTCAGTTACTTCTAACCACATTCAGTTGGCCCAAATCAAGTCCCATGGCTAGCCTAACAACACTAGGATTGTTGTTAGAATCTCTGCAGTCACATGACAGAGGATTTTGGATGTATAATTTTGTTAAGAAGAGTGAGAAGCTGAGGACATTATGCACTCTATCTTCAGGATGGAGAATATTGCACCTTCCTGTGCCTCTTTTGTCACTTGGGACACTCCTGCAGTCAGAGTCAAGTTCCAGTACTAATAAAGAAAAATCACAATCAATACCCAAGAAGAACAGGGAAAACAGCAGAACTCTCAGGATTATAGTAGCCCCAAAAGGTAATAATAAGAACACATAGGGAAATTCACTTGCAGCACAATGCTGTGTGGAGCTATAAAACAAGATTTCCCAGCAAAACAGTCAGTACTTGACACAAATCATGCTGCTGTTGAAATCCGAGTTAGTGACCCGAAAGATCAAGTGGAAAAATATTGTACAGCATAAGAAGAAAAACATAAAGTGTTGAAAATCAAAGGGGAAACAATAATGAGATTTGATGATCCAAGAATTTACTGTGAATTTTTAAGACTGATTTTTGAAAAGTGAAGGATTTACCTCCTTGGAATACATCACATTATATATAATGAATTTTACTTTGACAGAATTATAGCAACTTCTCTTTGGAAACCTTATACCCTCTCTGAGCTAAAGTAGAAATATGGCTGGAATCAGTATTAGAGTTTGCCTTATCTTTAGTGCACAATACAAGTTAACCTCATTGTAGATAAAATGGAAGAAAGGAAATTGAAAATCTTTGAGGTCTTGATTGGGGTCTTACAAGAAATAGGAGGGAACTCCTAGAACTACCTTTACTATGTTATATATTTATTATATTACAGATTACTATAGTTCTTACTTATATTTATTATATTATACATTACTCTATTTACTGGATTATAGATTTTCCCTAGGAGAAGATAAGTACTGGCTCTTTTATGCTAAAGAAAAACTAAAGAAAGCTGAACATGAATCTAAAATGTACAGTTTATGGAGGCACTAAAGATAAAATAGTATTTAGGTTTAATACTATAAGAAAATGACTGTGCTCTTTATATGTCTCAGAACCTGAAATAACCATACCCACCCATTAAGCTCTTTGGTTGGGGAGGATAGTAATGTCATCAGGACTGGTAGAAGTTTAAAGGATCTTCTAATGTTTATTTAATTATTGGTTTTAGTTCCTTTTATGTTCTGGTTTTTAAGGTTGTTATGCAAGTTTGGAAAGAGGTTTTGATGGATCATTCTGAACCTTCATGGATTCAGCATCACTAGTTTTGCCAGTATCACTGGTATTTTTGCCAAAAGAAGACTGACTAACACCTGATTGAGATCTTCAGTTTGGGTTTGATTTGGATACAGAGTTGCTGTGAACTCATTGTGAAGAGACATACTTTTAGAGTTTTCAAGGAGGAAGACATGAAAAGAGTTTTATCTGGCAATTGCATTTGTACAAATGTCTTTCACTTTTAAGGTAACACTTGTGTTAGAGGAAAAAAGTGTTTATTGGTCAGAGATTTCTTGGACACTTATAGGCTGGGATATGGGTGCCATCGACACCTGAGTGTTGGTGACCCTAAAGGGGAGACTATGTAATGCCAGGAGGGTTTAACGTTGATAATATAGTTTTTCATATCAATAAAACATTTGCAAGATTGTATTTTCACATTTAGAGAAATTTATCTTTGAATTTAAGAGTAAAACAGGAAATTGGACACTTGATTTCCCCCTCAAACCTTTTTTTATTAATCACCAGTTAATTTTTTCTCCATCAATTTGTTAACTGATCCAAGGCAATTGTTTTTCCAGTGCCTTTGGAAAACAAAGTGTATTAAGAGACTTCAATCTCCAGTGTTTATTTAACTGGTGTGGAGGCATCTTGTTGTTTTATGTGAAGGATATTATTTTATTCTGAGCCTTATTCTGCTTCATTTTGTTGCCTGGGAACTTTTAATGACCACTTGTTGCCAACAGACTAAACCCTGATATTTGGCACATCATAGTATAATTCTCAGGTTCATGAATTTTCGTAGTATGTACCTTCTTAGGTATGCTGTTAATTTTTTTATCCTTTCTGTTTAAACTATTCTTTGTTGAAAAAGGTGTCTTTCTAATCATCTCTTGAACCCCACAGAAGTTACAGTGCGTACTTAACTGCACATATTTCATGTTAAATGCTGTAAGGCTGTATTCTTGCTAAACTTTTTGTTGACTACTACTATATTTTCTTCTGGAAATTTATCTTTACGTTTCAGTACTAATTATATTCAGTAATAATAAAGTTTATGTTTTATTTTAATTTTTTTTGTATGTGAGCTCTTCTGCTTTTAAATCAAATTGCAATTGAAAATTTTTTAAAATCAGATTATAAGACCTGTAAAGTAGATTCTTCTCAAGCTTTGAGATATATAACTTCTTCTGCAGTGTTCTTACCTAATTATTAATCACAGGTAGAAATTCTTCTATGCCATCCTTTATTTTCTTGGGATATTAAAGTTATAAAAGCAGCAATCTAGGATTCTTTTGGTATCATATTTTGTTCCTTTGTCAAATCAGAAAAAGATAGGTATTATGAGAATTAGACATAGGCATCTTCATACCATACACCTTTCAGTTAACTATATTAGATCCTCTTTCACGCTCTATGGGGTAAAATCCTGATATTATCTCTTTCTCATAGTAAAATCTGCTTTTTTTTTTTTTTGAGCTGGAGACTACCTTTCAAAGATTTATATTTATTCTCTAATAGGGTCCCTCAGTTCATAGACCCACATCTGACCAGCAGGTGGTTTTGATCAAAATAGTGGCTTAAACATTTTTTAATTGGAATGCCTTTAGATTCACCTTACACTTTCTGTAGTTAACTGCAGGCACCACCTTACCTTCTGGCATTATACTTTCAGAGGAATTTAGTTTCTTTCTTGGTCTTAATTGTCCTGATCTTCATTTGTCAGGCTCTGGAAACTGGTTTTAATTTATCTTCATCTTAAAATTTTGTTTGCTTTGCATTTTCTTTTCTATATTATTTCTTTCATTCTGTCAGGTAATGAATCTTTTCTAAGAAACCACCACTAATGTTATTTCACATTACTTTCATGGCCACATTTTAAAGTATATAAGTGTGTAATCCATGGTTGTCTCAGGGCTATAGTCAGGGGACTCCCTGCAGAATTTCTTTCAGAGGTTAAATATTTCTTTTAGAGGTTAAACCACTATGTCATAATTTGAACATTTGTGCTCTGTAGTTATGCTAAATATTTGTTTCCAGTGCTTATTTGCCATTATACCCATGATTAGGTTAAAATTTCAGTAAAGGCTCCCAATTTGGAGTTTGTATATGATAACACAGCCGCTAGCAGACACAGATGTATCACATAAATTTTTGCATTGTAATTGCCCACAATATTTAACTCATCTCCTGGCCTATTTGCCTAGTTTGTTTACTTCTTGTTACTCTGTGTTTACTGTGTTGATACCATTTTAAGACTATATCAGGTGATTCTGATGACAAAATATCTTCTTTGTGGAGTGAGTAGAGTTTTTTTCTGCCTGAACAAAGGAAAAATATAAATCCAGAACACTTAAAAGTAGATGTGTACTATGCCTCAGCTATCTAAAATTGATTACTGAGGATTGAACCCAGAAGCACTTAACCACTGAGCCACATCCCCAGTCCTTTTTTAATATTTTATTTAGAGACAGGATCTCGCTGAGTTGCTTAGGGCCTCGCTAAGTTGCTGAGGCTGGCTTTGAATTTGAGATCCTCCTGTCTCAGCCTCCCAAGCCTCTGGGATTACAGGTGTATGCCACAGTGCCTCGTCTAAAGTAACATCTTAATGCCAGTATGGAACTTAATAGAATCTATGAGTATAACACAAGTGTGAGTTTATAAATGACATTGAATGTAGTTTTAAATCTTAAGATTTAAAAAGAATTCTTTTTCTTCAGCAATCTAATTTTCTACTGATTTTTTTTAACATAATGATCAACATACCCTTTATTATCTTTATGTTTTCTATAATTGAACTTAAAAAAATACATGCTGATTTATCTTGGTAAGCGTCAATAAGTTATTGGAAATAATTTCAAATGTAAGATTATTTTTTAAAAATGTCTGTTTAAAATTTAAAAAAACCTATGAAAACATATATTTCCACTTCTCTACATATTGACTCCTGTAGTGAGGTAAGCAGAATGTCGATATCCTGTGCAAAAGCTTATTTAAGTTATTATGCATTTAGAAGAAATGAGTTCTGTATATAAGAGGATTGACCATCTATATTTTATTTTCCCTATAACATCTTTTTTAGAAATGGGAAGTTTGTTTTTATCTGCTATGTTGTAACAAGATACTTGGTGTATTTCAGATTCAGGTTTTTCATTAAGTAGTCATTTAGACAAGTACTTTTTTTAAAAAAATGGGAATTATGTTGATTTCTAAAGCTTTTTAATCACATGGAATTTTAAACATGGAAAATTGAACTTTCTCATGTAATAGTTCTTAGACTGGAGAAATCCTTCCTGTTCTGTTGCTTGGGTTAGTGTTTAGCAGTATTTTTAGTAACACTCCTAACTCAGTAGCTATGTAAGCACTGAGCGAAGATGGAGTCACAGGGCAGACTGGGCTTGCTTCCCACAGGGAGGGCTGGGAGTTGAGCAGGAAGGAAGGCCTGTTCAGCAGTGCCTTGTGTGCAACTATGTCTGAGTAGGCAGCCGGCAAAACACAATGTCTCCCTTGTACAAAGTAACTCTCTTAGTGAGTGCTCAGATATGTCAGGAAAAAGTGTTTGGGTAAGTGAAGAAGCTTGGGGTGTTTCAAAGAGATTCTTTTCGTGTTTTTGTGGTATTTGGATTTCAGGGAGTGTACTATTTGTTGTTGCAAAGTACTGGCTTTGTTTTCAGTGGCATTTTAGACTTTTTGAACAAGCTCTACCACAGGCAGATTGAAGCATTTTACTTTCTAAAAGTGTGAGCTAAATTTAAGAAATAATTTGTTTGTGATGAAAAGTTTGTGCTTCCTGAAACCAGAGGAAATTAATTGTTGCATTTGTTTTTAGGAATGAATTCTCTACTGGGCTTAAAATCTACTTCTTCCTGTGATTTTTCCTTCTGAAATCAGAACCAATTTGTGATAGTTATGAGCACTACTTATAACCGATTGTTGGTATTTGAAATGTATAATCTTGATTTCAAGAAGGTTTTACTTGCTTTACAAATGGTGTGTCAGTTAATTATTCACTAAGTGACTGAGATGTAAAAGTTTCTAATTCACTTTAGTTTGAATAATATGAAGTTTAGTTTTTACCAAAAGAACTGGTTATTGTTCTTCTGGAAATCTTTATTTTGTGATTAGCTAACATACGTGGCTGGTATTTTTAGAATATTACTTTTGTATTTTCAGCAGCCTTAAGTAGCCAACTTTTAAGTGTGTACATGTTTATAGTCTTCGCTTTTGAATTTGTTTAGTGGAGTGTGACAATATGAACCGCTTTGACCGACCAGACAGAAATGTTCGGCAGTCTCAGGAAGGATTTTGGAAAAGACCACCCCAGAGGTGGAGTGGACAGGAACATTACCACCTTAGCCATCCTGACCCCTATCATCACCATGGAAAAAGTGACTTGAGCAGGTGAGTACTATTATTTTAACCTAGATTTTATTTTCCAACTTCTGTTTAAATAATAATTCTCCTCATCAAACTGATCTTGTGTAATGTTTAAACCAAAAAATATTTCTAGTTATGCGTGACACTAATTAAAATTAACAATTATTATTTTGTGACCCCAATATTAACTTTATTATACATATAAGTATTGTATCTGTATCTACTATTTGGAATTTTGTGTTTCTACTATTTGGATTTTTTTTTATAGATCTCATTAGGAGATGATTTAATGTTGACTTGTTAACATTTATAATTCTAAATAATGATGTGTAAAATTAGTGCCAAGTGATTTGTTTTTCATTTATATAATAAGCCCAAATTTAAAATTTTCACAAGTACTTTTAGAAACAAAAGAAAATACTGTATAATGCTAGAAGTATTTTCCTTTTTGAAATGTAGAATAATCTTTAATTTGACCATACCTAATGTTTAACGGGTTTCTGTAGTCATCTAAGACTGGGATCAAAGATTTCCCTGGCACCAATTAGCTTTGCAAGTTTACATCATTTATTTAACCCCTCTCTATTTCAGTTTAACCATCTGCAAAATGTACTCAATAATACCTTTTTTTTAGTATTTGAGGATCAAGAATAAAAGTGCCTGGAACAGTGACTGGTGAAGGCTAGGCACCCAGTGGCCATTGTTATTAAATGTTTCCTTTTTATTGCCTCATCTCATTCTCCAAGGGATTTGAGGTCATTCTGGAACATGTTTATAATACAAATAATAAAATTTGGGTGAAGAAATAATGAAAGGAAACCATAATAGCCTTGTATACTCCCAAAGTAGGAAACAAAACTGTTTCTAAGATTCTTTGTAGCAAAAGCCAAAAACTAAATTTGATCTGTTGCAAGATATGTAGTGTGCAGAAGATGAAGGTTATGTTTTTCCTGAATTTATATGCTCTTATGGAATAAAAACCTTGAGAGAGTTTTCTTAGCATGATTTCTTTGGAGGAGAATATCTTGGAATATGGTAGACAAGGCACAGAGATCTTCTCAAAATAGGAATAAATGATAATTTTCTTAGCTCTGTTTCTTAGTTACATTCTTTAATGCAAGCTACAAAAGATAATAGTCCAATTCAAACAAAGCATTTTTTTTTAGTGAATCCTAAAACTATGACTTTCAACTAAAAATCCTTTTGTTTGTGTAATTGAATAAAAGGATATAATTGAGAAGATCTGGAGGAATGTCTGGAAAACATTATTCCAGGAATTATTATGGCTGTTCTGTTTCTCACATCTAGGTTTTTGATAAGGAATGGACATAGAGAGTGGGTATTATCAGGGAAGAACGTGATGTGAAGACATTTATTGCTAATAATGAAGGTTATGATTCCCTAATCTTTGATAGTAAGTTTATAAGAAGGTAAATTTAAGGCCAACTTACATAACTTGATAAGCCCAACTAAAACATGAATCATTGTTTGTTTGTTCATCTACTAACAAATATTCATTGAGAATCTATCTTGAATTCCACTGAGATGAATGTGGAGATAGTATGAGATGTAAAAGCTGTGGATTGGCAGTGACTTCATAGAACATTGGGCTGAAGATGGTAAAAAGAATTGGTAAAAATGAGTAGTGTTTACTTCATGTTGCCAAGATGCTCAGAGTCCATAGGAAAGATAGGCACATAGACAGAGTGCAGTGATGTTGGGTGCCTTGATAAGGTGATATATAAAGGACTCCAAGAGCATGCAGCAACTGGTTTTTGTTTTAAGATAACACAGGATAAATGATGTAATTACTGAACTGATTTCTAAAAGTATGACTATATAGAGATTACAGAATAGTAGGTTCTACAGGAGCAGGGTACGTATTCCACATGGAAAACATGTGATAGGGTATGGCATTTTCAGAGAGTATCTCTTAAGTTTAGCATGGCTGGATTTTGCTATATTATTTGGAGAAATATGATCTAACTCTAAATTAAAAAACCATTGCATTATGCAGTTTAAGATAAAGGACGGGAAAGTTTACCTTAAAGTGAGACTTAATCAGACTGTAAATTACTTAACCAGAAGTGAATTACCTACAGATAGTTATCTCTATCCTTGGGAATGATCAAGCTAAGGTGGAGTATAATCATTTGACAGAAAAGTTAAGCAGCGTTTTCAAAAAAAAGTTATAATTCTTGGATATCAACAGATGTAGAAAGTGTAAGTTCCCTGGTCAAATGAGCATGAGAATGGACAAATTAAAGTTAAAAATTTTTAAATGGTCAACTCCATTGGGCCTGTAAGTATAAATATGTAATGTGATTTTGGAAATGATGGCAAAAGATAATATGTAGTCATTCCTCAAAACATATCACAGATTCCTTTTACAGACTATATTTTAATGGATTTACAATTTGTATTTGCACCAGTGATTATTAGAAGAGAGAAATGCACAGCATTCTTAAGGGTTATGATCTAATTTAGTACAGAACTTTATAACAAATGGGCTGAGGCACACTGATTTGTTGAATGGTTATAGGCTAACCAGTTTATTGATTTCCCCTCAAGTTTTCTGGGACTGTGCTGAGTTTTGGATCCCCCAGAGCCATTTGTAAGGATGGGCAATATCAAAAAAAAAAAAAAAATTCCCAAATGAACCATACCCAAGCATACTTTAAAACTAATATTTTCTCTTAAGAGTTTGGATTTATTAACCCAAGGGATTTTTTAATATTACATGTACAAAATTCCCTCTTGACTTGGAGCACTGCTTTCTTTTCTTCTGTCTCACAACTTCTATATTTCACATAGTTAATTATAGGATAATGTCTTATCCATAACTCAGAGATATTGGGAAGATTGAGTGTTGAAAACTGTATTCTCTCCTTCTCTTTATAGTACTGCACTCTTAACCTGGCCTAATCTTCCACTCCCTTTTTTCCCTACAGTTCCCCCTTTTCAACAACTTCAACTCACATCCTAACGAACTTATTCCCTTGACCTCTTTGTCTACATTGTCCTAACTGTAACTGAATTCTAGCTCTTTCTTAAATTACTTTTTCCCTAGTAGTGGATTCTTCTTTTCTAATCAGCCTAGTTTTGTTTTGTGTTGTTTTGTTTGTTTTTAAGATCTTCATAGTATATATAGTAATTGGGTTTATCGTAAGAAACTCATACATGCATGGAATTTGATTTTGGTTCATGATCTCCCCTTTTCTCCCCCTTTTCCCTCCCAACCTCCCTCCTTCCTTTGTTCTCCTTCCTCTACTAGACTTCCTACACTCATCTATTTATTTATATTTAATTGGATCTTTTTACTTATGTATAAAGGTGAAATTCCCTGTGGTATATTTACATATGCACATAACATGATGTTTTAAGAATTCTGCATTGCCTCCCCTTACCAATTTCTTTACTCTTGATTTTCTATATTTCTATATTACTGTTCTTCCATTTATCTTTAGTATATCCTGTCATCTCTCTCCCTTTCCTTTTCTTTACTCTAGCTTCTGCATTTGAGAGAAAACATTCTACCTTAATTTTTTGAGTTTGGCTTATTTTAGCATTGTATTCTCAATTTCCATTCAGTTACTGGCAAATCTCATAATTAATTTTTTTATGGATGACTAGAACTCCATTTTGTGTGTGTGTATCATAATTTCTTGATCCATTTGTCTATTGATGAGCATCGGTTACTATGGTATGATGTTACTATGGTATGATGATATTTAGTCCTTTCTGATAAATACCAAGGAATGAATGGGATGGGTCATATGGTGGTTCTATTCCTAGTATTTGAGGATCTCCATACTGCTTTTCAGAGTGGGTATACTAGTCCGTAGTCCTAACAGTGGTGTGCAAATGTACCTTTTCCCCGTAATCTCAGTGACATTATTATTGTTTGTATTCCAGATTGCTGTCATTCTGACTGGAGTGAGATGAAATTTTAGGATAGTTTTTATTAGCATTCCCCTGATTACTGAAAATGCTAAATATTTTTCAACCTCATTTGCGTTTCTTCTTTTGAGAAGTTTCTGTTCAGTTCTTTTGCTCATTTATTGACTGGGTCAAATGTTTTTTTGGTATACTTTTGAGTTCTTTGTATATTCTGGATATTAATCTCCTGTCAGAGGAGTAGCTGGCTAAGATTTCTTGCTATTTCTTTACTGTTTTGAGATAGTCTTTGTCTTCATTCTTCATTGTCACTTCTAAATGAAGTATTCTTAAATGCCTTTTCTTTGAGACTCAGGGCATTTGATTGAATTAATTCTTCTTTACTGGTACCTACCTGTACTTTACAAAAATCATAGCCCCTTGGCTTACTTTCCTCCTTCATTATAAACTTTGCTATAATTCTGAGTAGCTAAAGTGTAATGCAAGTGATTCATTTTTCTGTCTCTTTAGGTCCTTAGGGTTCTTTATACATAAGGTATGTCAGTAGAGAATGGATGGTTTTACTTTTCCAATCTGGATACTCTTTTTTTTTTCTTTTGCACAGTTACTATGGCTAGACTCTGTGGTACAATATTGAATAGAAGTGGTGAGAGCCAACAGTTATCTCATTTCTGATATTAAGTGGAAAACACTTCAGTCTTTCGCTGTTACATAAGATATTAGTTGTGGGTTGTTCACACATTATCAGTTAGAGGAATTCCCTTCATTCATAGTTTGTTGAGGGCTTCTATCATCAAAGAGTATTAGATTTTGTCAAATGCTTTTTTTCTCTATTGAGATAATCACCCTCTCGCCGCCCCCCCCCCAGTTTCATTCTACTAAATGTGACATATATCATTGATTTTTTTTCACACGTTGAACCAGCTTTTTCTTGGATAAATCTCAATTGCTCTTGGTATATATTTCTTTTTTAGGTTGTCTGGTTCAATATTCTAGTATTTTTGAGGATGTTTTTATATATATTCTTAAGAAATATTAGGTATGTAATAGTATCTCATTGTTTTAATTTGTAAATCTCTAATGATATATTGTCAAATGTTTTTTCCCCCACATTTTATTTGCCATAT